TAAGACTGGAATTAAGCTGCATAAGACCTAAAACAATGTTCCCAATTTTATAGATCTTGGCAAGGCCTATTTTTAGCAGATCCAAGCTTACAGCACTGGCGAACATCACCTAGATAAAGCGTCAGGATGTTATCATAAAGTCTGGGTAGCAATTTGCCTATTTTTATATTGAAAGTATATTGTGTAATTTTTTTGGTGCGATACCTTGAGAATTCCTCTTCTGCGCAGCAAAAAAAAATTTATACTCTGATGTAATATTTTACTATATTTATGTGAAACGCTAAACCTGTGAAGGAATATATTGAGCGCAAGGACTAGCGGAGGATTGATTTTCCATCCGCTAATCATGGGACGGAAGCGCTACTCTCGTTGCTGCCAAACAGGTTGAGGAGAGACTCTCAAAACGGTAATAGTAAATAAATGCACCTCCATACACATTAAATAATAGCAGTAATAATAACAGCACTAATAATAATAGCAATAATAATAGCATAATAATAGAATAATACTAGCATAATAATAATAGCAATAATAATATAAAGACTACGACTTTAAAGGAGAGGCTGATCCTCACAGCATTTCTCAAAGTTTTATACTCTTATTTTGATTAACTACCACAAAAATTCCGCCACTGTGTGCTAATCTGTATGACATCCTTCTAGTAGGACCCCCTGATACTGGCAACTATAAAAATCACTTTCATGGGAACAAAAAAAATGCATCACGACATCATGTATTCCCGTCCCTCTTGCCTTTCCACCTTTTAAGGGAAAGAATTTGAATTGTTTTCTCCAGCACCCCGGCAGGGAAGTCTCTAGCTAAACTTTCTGATCCTTCAGCCTATCCTTGCTTGAAAAGTGTGGAAGTGTAGCAAGAAAAGAATGGAAAATTATATTCCGTTTTGAAAAAGTTTGAGATTAGAGTAGCTTCTCCTTGCTTTGGTAGAATGGTGGGTTGGTGGATGGGTGGGTTCTGATCTGGGTTGGTTGGTTGAGTAACTGGGTGATCGTGGTGGTGGTCAGGAGAAAAGAGGAAATGTGTGTGTGGGTCGATGGCTGATTTACCGTCTCGCTGACAGGTGATCTGGCTCAGTAATTGGCAGCAGTGGAATATGAAACTCAGTGTGCTGCTGCTCTCATGCAGCTGCTTAACACTACTGCTCCAGCTGCTGAGCCTCATACTGTGGCATTACTACTACTGTTGTTGATACTGCTACTGGTGCTGTTTGTACTACTATTACTGCTGCGGCTTCTGTTATTAGACGTCTAACAGTAGTAACAGCATTTTATCGCTACTGCTCCAGCTGCTGAACCTCATATTACTGCTAAACACTGCTGCTGGTGTTGGTTTTCCTGTTTGTAATACTACTACTACTACTACTATTAGTACTGCAGCTTCTGCTAACACAGCTGCTGCTGATACTACTACAACTACTAATGCTCTTATCTTTAATATTGTTACTTTTACTTCTGATACTACTACCACTGCTGCCACCATTACTACTATTACTACTGATTCTATCTTAACACCTACTACTATCTCTGCTGCTGATGCTTTTGCTACTACTATAACAAGCGTGTTTCTGCTTCTGCTACTAACACTACTGCTACAGATCAACAGTTGATCCTGATAGGGTTACTAATGCTGCTAATACAGCTACTAATATTGTTGATCTTGCTGCTGTTCGGAAGCTGTAACTGAGCATGTTAGTGCTGCTGGTGATGCTTAAGTTACTGCCATTGATGCTTCAACTGACACTGCTTTTACGTATGCAGCAATAACTGATTTTTTTTTTTGGTTGTCAAGGCTATTGATGGGAGCTCTGCTGCTTCTTTTACCTCTGCTTGGGCACCTGCTTAACAACGGCTTCTGCCTTTGGTGTTGATTTCCCAAGCGCTTTTGAGTATTAGGAAAAGTTGAAGAAGACGCAATTGAAGGGATTTCACACAGCCAAGAAATGCGGAAGAACGAGCCTTTGGTGGGTGTTTAGAGAGAAGTTTTTAATCAGTTTTGTGTGTGCCGTTCTCGAAAAAGAGGAAAAGAAGGCGAGAGAGGGGAAAGAAGAAAAAGAATATATCGAAGGGCAGCAGACCTACACAAAGATATGCTTCTTTACCAATGATATTTTAAAACAAATTTAGAAAAAAACTGAAAAGAAAGGAAGAAACGGTTGGAAATTTAAATATGGAGAATAAAATTTTCGAAACTAAAATAAAAGTATCGAGTAATTCAAGACAAATTTATACGAAAGAAGAGAAATGAAACATTTGTGCAAAAATAGTAATAAAAGAATGACAAGAACAAGGATGTAGATAAACCATACCACGGACGGGGTTAGAACCCGCGATAAGAGTGTCTCAAAACTCTAGACCGTCGCGTTAGCCACTGGACCGGGTTCTATCCCCGTCCGTGGTATGGTTTGTTTGCAATCGTGTCATTACAATTTCGTGAGTCAAGGATGTAGATAGCTCTAGATAGTTCAGATAACGTTAAGTAAACTATGAAAAGGAGACGAAAAGTACTAAAAGATTGTTCTAGTTGGTATTAGCTAAGGAAGTTACAGCTAGACCTGACATTAGTCTTGAAATAAAAAGGGAAGGTCAAATAATTCTAAGACATTGAAAGAGTTGACATTATAAAAAAAATATTGCTTATAGGTGAGGTGAAAAATATATCTAGTTGAGAACAAACAAAATGACAAATAAATGGAACAACTTATCAGTAGAAAAAATACACAAATACCCCACACATAGGAAAATGGAAGCAATGTCTAACTTAGGCCATTAACTACTGATTATTAACTAGTAACTGTTAACTAGTGACTAGTTAATAGCCTTTTATATTCTTTATGGGTGAGAAAACAAATCGTTTTGAAGATTTCAGCACTCAAGAACGTAAGATATAGACAAATGAGAATATATGAAGATGAGAACAGGCTACTACGACTACACTCAGGACAGGCATGAGGATGAACTGCTGGGGAGAATAGGGACACGAAACAGGAAGGTTATTAGCACTTATTTGTTACACAAGACTAAAAACGAAGGCAGTATTTAAAATACTGAGATAATGAAAATATAAAATATGACTGGAACAGAAGATTTTGTGCATAAAATACGCGGTGAGGCTGCATTTAAGGCTGGAATAGTAAACAAAATTCTCAACAATGAACCATAATATAGTTTTCAAGCATCGTCATGCTAATAAAGAAACACGAGTGAAAGGCAGCAACACATTAGTTATTGACTGATTATATTTAGTGTATTAGAAAGAAAAAGGCATTTGAAAAATCAATTATCTAAATCTCTTGACTGAGTGACTATGTTACAGTAAAAAATCATATATTATTATACATATAAGAGGGGAAAATGGTAAATAGAAAATGGAAAGATTAAATGGAAAATAAAATATGATTTATGATGAAATTTTAGGGAGTAAATAGAGTAAAATTTTAAAAGTATATAAAATTGACTTACATTTTATCGAAATGTTTGTATATGGAAATTGAATAAATCTGTGTTGAGATGAATTGAATAAAATGAAAAAAATACTGCTTTATTGGAATGTTCTGAAGAGCCATGGAAAAGAAAGGATTAACTCAATAAGAGAAGTGTTCCAACCTAGTGACTTCCCAGACATTAAAATAAGCCAGAATGGAATATCGGGATGTTTGAAGTTAATACAAGATGTAAGTAACTGAATATACAAGGACAACTTTTTTATTCAACTGTGTAAGAAGTATAAGTTAAATACAAAATATTAGCGAAAATACGATTACTAAAGAGCAAGGAAAAAACATCACTTTTTTCTTCCTTTTAATTTTTGGAAGGTTATAAATGACCATAATTTTTAAAGGGGTGGGACCGGTAAGCCAGCGGAAGGCCTCGGTCAGATGACCAAAAGCTCCAAAGGCGGGTCATCATCTGACTAAGACCCGCGTCAGGAAACATTTGTCCTGTTTCCTGACGAACCTTACCTAACCTAACCTAGCAAGGAAAAAACTGCGAGGTATTATTCAGGAAGTTTGAGAGTATATTTACAGAATAGGCTTTTTGAATGCAATAGATTTCCGTGCCATACAGCCAACTGAAATTAAAATAATGAAAAACCTGTTTTTCATCTATTTTATCTTCGAATATTAAAATACTTGAAGAGGAACTTATAAGAATACTACTAAATAGCGGCAAGGAAAAAGTATTGGGATCATACAAGATGGCACAATGGGTTTCAAAAGAATTGAAATTATACAAGTTGGCACAATGGGTTTCGAAAGTATCGGGATCACACGAGATGGCACCATAGGTTTCAAAAGTACTGAGATCAGATGAGATGGCATCATGAGTTTCAAAAAGTATTGAGATCAGGCGAGGTAGCACCATGGATTTCGAAAGTATTGATTCCAGACGAGATTGCACCATGGTTTTCAAAAGTATTGAGATCAGAGGAGATAACACCATAGGTTTCAAAAGACAGTAAATTAGCAGACAATGAGAGGAGGGCGCACATTACGATAAGTGAGATCATTTTACAAGTGTTGTAAAAATAGGTGAAAACCCGTAGAGAAAAGTGGATTAAATATTTTTAGAGTAAATATCTTCTATTTAAGAAACATGTTAACTAACAAACACTTACTAGTTCGCAAAAGATTCTGTTTTCCGTCAACAAATTTCTGCATATCAAATCTATTATTATTTTTATGATATATATATTTCTTCCAAGAAAGAATGAATAAGCAGATATCATTTAGCTAGATTTTTCAATAAGTTTTCGACATTAAAATCCTATCTAGAAACTGCTAACCTACTGTTTGTCCTACCAACCAATCCAGGTTATAACCAACTTCAAACTAACCCAGTACAATAACCCAGACAATACCTCTCTCTTTAACTCAATATCTCGCACCAACCCACCACATCTCGCAACCATTAGACCACTACATAACCTACAACAAAGTTATCAAGAACCCATCCTGATAAACAATTAATTTTCCCATTACTCACCTCCCATGACGACGCAGGAAAGGGTCAGAGGAGTGCCTTCGTTGACAGGGCCGATTTTACGTCTGACGACAACACCGTCACCGTTATAAATGACCAGCTTCTCCGGTGGTTCTGTGGGAAAGAGAAGACGTACCAGTTGTATTATCTCTCAAGACCAGTGGAAACCTGATGTTATCATTTCCCTTTTCTTGACCAATTTATGTGACGGATCTGAAGTGAAAGAACATAAACATTTCCAAATCTCGCACGGCTAAAAAGGAAGCCTGATGCTGTAACTGCGTTAAAAGTTGCTTGTTCCTGGCCAAGATTTTTGTCATATAACCTGACTTAGGCCATATGATTTACTTTTCCTCTAAGATTCCTGCAAATAATTTATTAAAGAGGACCTCTGAGTGAGGTCTAAATATTCAGTATTTTATAATTTTAAGTTTCATTGTCTCCAATTTATTTCGTTTATACCATTATTTGACGAAATAAACATATTGCAAGGCGCCCACACGACTCCTTGAATTAAATGACCCTCACGGGTGCAGTAAAACACTTAAATACTAATAGGTAACCTAAAATAGAGCTATTTCTCTGATACTCTAGTTACTGTGCTGGCAATATTTACGCGAAATTAAAAAAAAATCAAGGTGATACATACACTAATTCTCTTGTCTACACAATCAAGAAAAAATAGAAGTAACATCAGAAATTCTGAGAACCTACGCTGAGTATCATCTAAGTAACGAAATATGAAAAAAAAAAATTTAAAGGTCTTCATTTGCGTGAATGGTTCACTCCAACAGTTACTTTGCTATTAGAAATTCATATCATATTGATCAGACCCCAGTCTTAAAATAATTTAGTAAATAATCAGTTCTAAAATAATCAACTTGTGTTATTGATGAATATTAATGAAACATTTAAATACTACACCAACATCAGATTAGCAGTCAAGACTAAATCCATGAACAAGCAATGTACCGATATTTTTATACAAGTCAAATTTAAATAAAACTGAATAAACATGGAATTAAAAATAAAAGGCCATTTTGGGAGAGGAAGTGAGACCAGTGTTGTGCGCGGTCAGGTGGGAGAAATTAACCATATTACATATTTGAACACTAGCAAACTAGTGTTCAAATCTGAGGATTATATAAATTTTAAAGTAGTCAAATCAAATAAATCCTTAATAATTTTGAATGAAGGGTTACTACCCACATTTTCTTAGTAATCATTGATTACCAAGTCCGGTTAACTGGATACGAGTCCTAAAGGTCGAAAGTACAGTGTCTGAAGAAAGGGGGGGGGATATATTGCAGTTTTGAGGGGGCAACTGAACTAAACGTTGGCACACCTCTGGCAAGACAGTGGTACAGTTAGTGATGGAAAGTGTTTCCTCTTTTTAGGAAATTCTGCCTAGGTGGAAGGCAGCCGGTGTGTTAACCATTATATATATATACATGTCGTGCGGAATAGGTAATACTTGCGATTTTGGCTTAAATAGCAACGCCCTTTTTACCGAATAAGGCAAGCGAAAAATTGTGTATGCACTAATTTCGCAAAAAATAATTCTGCACCAAACGAAAAAAATATATTTCATTGTGTTTATTAAATTACTGTAAATTTATCTAAAACATATTTAGTTGGAATAGGCTAAATTAAATTACGCTTGTTATAATAAGGTTACGTAATTTTCCTAAGGTACAAACTTATTATTTCTTACATTAACATAAATGAAAAAATGTGTCCAAGCGTATACGAGAAAATTTTAGAAAGGACTTAATTTTAAATAAGTTCTTGCTAATTGACCAGTTTTACCTAATCGGCACTATACACACACACACATTATATATATATATATATATATATATATATATATATATATATATATATATATATATATATATATATATATATATATATATATAACTGTCGTAGGGACCCTCATCCTCAGAGAAAAGAATAAACTTGCTTCAGGGAAAACTTAAGGTTCTCCCTGAAGCTGTTTGAGAATTTTCTCCTACCACCCCTTATATTTCAAGTATGTTTTATTTAAAGACAAAATACATTGGCCAAACATTCACAAAAATACAACAGAAAGTAAAACAACATAGGTAACTCAGAGCTACATCTCGAATACATCGTCCAGCTCCCCTGCGGTGGGCCGCGTGCCCAGAATGCTGCAGGCATTTCCTCTCTGGATCGCAACACTGAGTCTCTGAAAGAGGAAGCTGGTCGCCCTGTGGTCCTTGGTTTCTATGATGAGCTTTTCACCTAGCTCTTTGAGGAACTTTAGAGCACACTTGCCCCATGCTCCAAGGGTCTCCGACCCTATTGGAATGAAGTTATAGCAAGGGGGAAGATCTTCATATTTTCGGATCTTCTGGGTCTCCCTGTGGCTGGCAGCTCCACCCCCTTCCACTACAGAGTATGGCAAGTAGGTGTCTGCCGATGTGGCAGCACAGGTGTAGTCCCAGGCAATCTGCTTTCCATCCTTCCAGGGTAGCATAGTGGCTCCATCAGGACGCTTTTGACTTCCATCAGACCTCTGTACTTGGGGTTCCCGTTGAGCTGGACAACGGGCTGTGGCGAGGCTTCTCTTTATTATATCATTGACCTCCTCATGTCTGGCATACTTCCCTTCTGCTGTGTGACACAAGAGACCATGAAGTCCGAATTGATCAGCTGTCGCCCTGCCGCAAATACACCTATGTTCGGTGAGGATGGGGGCGGCTAGGCGAAGAGCAACACCAATCCGAATGGCCTGTGGGTCGAGATGGGTGCCCAGGGAGGAATTGGGAACAGCTAACAGGAAATCTCCTGAGTGTGGTGCCTTCACTGCCAGGAGACGAGCTTTGTTCTTTCCTGAAGCATTGGAGAGCATTGTGTTGGCGATTTTTTCCATGATCGGTTTGTCCCAGTGGGACTTTGTGCTGTTTGTGAGGAGCTGGTCTACTGGAGGAGTCTGTAAGGGTGTCCCACCGAATCGCTGCTTCAGTAAACCTGGGGTCTTGAGCTCCTACCACATCTCTCAAGCGTTCGGGCACTATCTTCTTGACTAATGCACTGGAAGCCAAACACGAAGACAGAAAAGCAGGTAAAGCAACATGCATTGCTTTACGCACCCCTATACCTCCCAGTCGCACTGGGATGGTTGCCTGATCCCATTGCTCATCCTCTAGTGACAGGTTCAGTGCCTTCTTAAAAGTTGATCTCAGGTGTGCGTCATATTCATCGAGTGTTGGGTTGTCAAAAGAGGGTGCACACCTCAAGTGTATATATATATATATATATATATATATATAATATATATATATATATATATATATATATATATATATATATATATAAGACAGATCATAAAGTAAGGTCACCTAAGGGCACCGCTACAGTGTTGTTGAAGCCCTCATCACCGTGTGGGAATCTCAGCTAGACAAAGACTGGCTTGGAGAATCAAGAGTGTCTCCTGTGTTACACTCCATGCACACCCCAGCCTCAACTGCGCCAGTATTAACATAATAATGGCAAACTTGCGCCTCTGAGATGAGAAACGTTGAGTTGTGAATATGTTGCAAATGGGGAAGGAGAGGAATAGAAGAATGGATGGAATATAAAAGAATAAAAGAGAAGAACGATGGAGAAAGGGAAAAAAGTGAGTTAAAACGAGTTTGTGGAAAGATAAAACGAGGCTGTAAAAAAACTATAACTGCGTGACATTTACAAAGGGTTCAGCAGAGGGAAGCATCAAAGAGAGGAGTGGAGAAAATGAAAAAATATAGGGAAATGAGATAAAGATTGAGGAAGTAAAAAAAAAGGCGCTGAAGTAAATGGAAAGAGAGAGAGTTGAGGGAAAAAGATAGCAAAGGACAAAAATAAAATATAGTGAAAAAGACAGAAATTAAGAATCAGATACAGAGAGAGTGGATACGTAAAGACACAAGCGGACAGGCAAATAAGGACAAGGGGCAGTGAGAGAAAATGACGAAGTGGAGACAGAAAACACTTGAGAAAGGACGGAGCGAAGAAAGCAATCGCTGTGAAATACACCACACACACACACACACACACACACACACACACACACACACACACACACACGAGTATACAGTGAGGAGAACTGAGTAACAGTTTCGCCATAATTTGCAACGCTAAATCACATCTCAGCAACAGCTTATAAGCCTACGTTCTGCTAACACCTTATAAGCCTACCTTCTGTTAACAACTTTTAAACCTACGTTTCTGCGCTAGCTTATAGGCCTCCACTTTGGTAATATCCTTTAGGCCTGCGGGTCGGTAACACCTTAGAGAAAAAGACGCCTATGTTTCGCCACCAGTGGCTTCGTCAGTCCACTATGACTGAAGAAACCACTCGTGGCGACGCTTTTCTTTTAATAAAGAGCCTGCACTGTACATCTTGTCGGTATCACCGTAACATTCCTCAACACTTCATGGGCCAACATTTCAAAAACAGTTGATGGTCTTAAGTTTCAATAACAACTTAGAGATTTAGAATTCATTAAAACGAAATCTAAACAGTTTTATTAGTGTTATGCATTTCATTAATATTTTTGTATCAAATTCAGTGAAGTAACATAAAATAAGTAAAAAACTGTTTTGTGAATTATGCTTATTTTCAGGAGGTAGTAATTCTGAGTGAGATACGAAGCCGATGGAAGCCAAGATACTCAGATTTCATTCAAATAATGTGAGGGTAGCTCTAATTTCTTAACTCAAAAGCCCCTCACCGGCATCAAGACACCTTTCTTGAAAGGAAAGTTTAAGTTAGCTCCTATATTATTTGACATTCATTTTTCTCTAAATACTGTAACATAAATAACATAACTTTCATTGTTCTGAAATTGAAGGTGTGTGTGTGTGTGAATCTTAGAAACATGTTTAATTGAATTTTTGGATTTAAAAAGATATGACTTGTTAGTGAAATCTAAAAAAAAAAAAATATCTGTCTGAAGTAAATGCTGGAATCATGTAACAACCTATTTCACTGCTTTTGTGATTTTGATAAACTTTGAAGGTCAAATGAGGTTAAAGTTACTGACGTACAAACCTTATTGAATATTTAACTCAAATATTTGGGAACTGTTAAATGGTAAAGAAGTTTAAAA